TTTCTCCAATTCAAAAATTCCAATTATTATGAGGTAAAAGCACAGCGCTGAGTAATAAATGTTTTGATATGATATTTTGAGTGTTATACAGTACAGGTGTAGGCATATCAATAATTTTTTTGTGTGGCTAGAAAACCTTTCACTACAAAATATGCCGGTAGTTGAAAGCCTGATTTAGTTCCCGTTTCAAACAGAGTAGATTTTTACAACCAAGGGGTTATGCAATGCGCACGGGTTAGGGCTTGGAAAGGTTACGGTTCAGAGAAGAAATGATTTATCGAACCACTATCTTCCAATGAGTTCCGAGTAAAGTGCCCTTCGCACCTCCCCCTCTCTCTCACTTCAATAAGCATCCCTTTCTCCCCCCGTCTGTAATCTCGCCACCTTTGGCCTGTTTTCTGTGTTTTTATACTTTTAACTTCGTAATCGAGTTAATAGAAAAAAAAAATTAAGATAAAATTAAAAAAAAGAAGGATTGACCAGTTTTCATGGAGCTGAGTGACCGAGCACCTTTTATCCTGATTACGACGGATGTTAAAAATAACAGCAACAGTAAGGAACGGGAACTGATTTAAAGAGATTTAATTTGCGGTGCCAATCTTAGATTCATTGTTGAGTTCTGCGGAGACCGACATGGTATTAACTTGTACCCCACGTGTTGTTTAATCAGGCAAGAAACAGAGCCGTAAACTATCTATACCATATTGAACGCTGCGACAACCACACAAGTAAGTTTTCACTTCCAAGGAACTCCCAGACAGTTCTGACGTACATGTATCTTTAATTGGCCAGCTTTTTGAACAGATTTTGCACAGCAAATTGAGGGCTGTAGGAACTTCAAGAAATAAAAGATACTAATTACGTTTCAGTCAAAATTTTGCAAATGGAGCCCTCAGTGTGCAAAATCGCGCTCGTGCCGAAGTGCTTATAAGGAGGGCCTGCTTGCTGGCTAAAGCGGATACGATGTTATACTCCCAGGCACATAAAAAAACAGCAACAACTATAACAGAAACAAAAAATCGATAAATAATAATACATACTGATTGTAGTTAAATGTAATTTAACGTTTTCTGGTCTCTTTCTTCTTTATAGTTTTCCATGACATGGAAACGAAGTATCACTGCACGAAGATCAATTTTTTCAGGAAGCCGCGAGGTAATGTACTATAACTTGAACACCTGAATCTTTTTTCTCGTAAAGATCTTGCTGCTCTTTTCTCTCCCTAACCGCCTCCCCGTTAGCTCAATTGGTTAGAGCGCCGGACTGTTGTGTGGGTTGTCGAGAGTTCGAGCCCCGGCTGGACCAATACTCAGGTCTTAAAATAACTGAGGAGAATGTGCTACCTTTCTATAATATCATGAAATGGATAGACATTCTAGTCTTCTCGGATAAGGACGAATAAACCGTAGGTCCCGTCTCCAGCACCTATTAGTTGGTTAATTAGGTTAGGCAGGGGACGTTAAAGAACCCACTCACGAGATTACTGTGATGTGGTCTGGCCTGTTTACTGGGAATTGGGGGGAGAGGGCATCTTCAACTTCCTTTGATTCGTTGTAAACTGCTACATGCAGTCTGGCAAAGTCCGCCGCACTGTGTTGTAAGAATGGCCTTGAAAAGCCCCAAGGGGAGTGGTCATCTAACCCATCCATCCATCCATCCATCCATCCATCCATCCATCCATCCATCCATCCGTCCGTCCGTCCGTCTGTCCGTCCGTCCGTCCATCCATCCATCCATCTATCCGTCCGTCCGTCTGTCCGTCCGTCCATCCGTCCATCCGTCCATCCATCCATCCATCCATCCATCCATCCATCCATCCATCCATCCATCCATCTATCCATCCCTCTGCTGTGTAGTTTTGAAAGATATGAGCTAGAAGAACATAGAACTGTGATAAATACACTGTTTATGTATGCCTTGTTGATTCCCTTTTTAGTTGAATTTCTGTTTTGACGTACGTAGTGATATGAAAGAGTCCAAGGAATAAGGATTTGAAGGGGCGAAGATGCCGTTATATGAGTGATGGGGAAGGGGGGGGGGGATTAACTACTTCAAAGGGATAAAACACTACTGCCTGGAAAGTCTTCCAAAGTGCGCCAAATGGTTATATACCGCCTCATTAATAATAAGTCCAATTTTTTTATTTGCCCTTTTATTTATTTTGTTTATGAAATTAATGAAATATACATCTATTACTAATGTCAACTGTGGCTCATTTCTGTCGTCGATAAGCATTCGCACGTAAGGAAGGGAAGTATTTATTCTACATATTGTATTGAAGAAAACATGTGGACGTTAAACTTTTCATTCACCCGTGAATGTTAGATAATTTTGCTTCCTCTTACTTTTATGTTCAACATGTCTGTCTTCCCCAGGCTTCGGACTTCGCTGCCATCGAGCCATAAAAGAGATCGCAATGCTCGTTGGAATTGAAGACATGCGCTGTAAAGTGTACGGTACTACGAACGCTCTCAGCCTCGTTCGCGCGGTGTTCCAGGGACTGCTTAGTCAGGTAAA